GGGGGGGGGCAGCCTAGAGGCAGCCTCCTCTCAGAGGGAGACCAGGGTGGACCCACAAGGAGGGAGGGCTGAGCTGCTGTCGGCGTGGGCTGTACAGGGACACTGCAGCCACCTTAGCCAGCCTGTGACCTACCACGCCACGCAGGGCCACCTGGACAGCCTTCCCCTATGGCCTGCAGGCTGCAGCTGCAGAGAGCTGGGGAGGTGAGGAGCACTCCACACCTGGGGGAGAGAGAAGGAATGAGGGGTGATGAAAGCCAGAGAGTGTGCTCCCCACAACTGTCTGCCGGCCACAGTGGTTTGAGGGGCTGTTTGATTTTTTTCTGGCCCCCCCTCGCCAAACCGCCCACGCCCCCCTCCCCAACGCATGATGGATGCCCTTAGTGGCCCTGTGTGAGGTTCTGCTTCTGTTCACAGTGTATCATGTGTCTGCATAAACAACCGTGTGTGTATAATTGTGTGTGTGTGTTGACGTGCCCATGTTTGTCTGCTGGCTTCCTCCATACTTTGAGTTCCTTTCGGTTCTCTTATGATTTGACTCTGCTATTCTCTCATCCGAGCTTTTAAATTGATGCTGTGGTCTGGTGCTGTATAAATATTTTTCCTTTTAATTTTGTTTAACTTCTTCCTTGCCCTCCTTCACCTGCAACCCACCCTCCCTACCCTCCCACACTCCCCAACCCCACCCGCCCCGCCCCTGCTTCCTCCCCCCTACACTCTCTTGTCCTCTCTCTCTTTCTCTCTCTCTCTCTCTCTACATATATAAATATATATATAAATCTTTTCTTCTTTTGTCATTCAATCAAATTCCAACAACCCAACCAGGGCCAGTCAAATCCACCACAGTCTCGCGCTGAGCTAGGAATAAAGTTCACGTAATCACATGAGAGTGGAGAAAAGTCCCCCATCCGTAAGTTCAAATCAACTCAAAGTTCACAGTGTGACATGATGGCGTCATGTAACAAGGCTAAGAATCGGTTGCATGACAATTGCCGTCAAGTTTCGTGGAGGTGCTGTGATTGGAGCGTTTTTCTTGGATGTTGTATCAGTTGATGATTGGCCAGTCATGATCACACGTGCATTTTCTTGACTTTTGTGCTGCCACAATCTTTTTTGCTGTGCTCATTTTCGTTTCGTTCTTGGTGCTTGCAGTGGTTTTACTTTCTGTTGTTTGGTTTTTCTTGTTCAGCGTTTTTTTATGCTTCTCTAGATGTCACATAGAGAAAAAAAACAAAACAAAAGTACCAAAAAAATTAGTCAAAATAAAAATGAATTCCTGAATTATCAAACATGGGATCATTGACCTGTGCAAACCATTATTTTTTTTTCTTAAAAATAAGGAAAACATCTTTAAAAATCTATGCGTGGTTGATTTACTTGCACTTGAAAATATTGTGATTTTATTTTTTTCTAGAAATTTGGGGGCCTTTTTCAATTGACACTTTTCTAGGTCTGGTCTTTTTCCAGTTAGGCTATTTTCAATCTCACTTCAAAGGGAAAAAAAAAAAAAAGCAAAAACAAAAACCAAAATATCTACAGTAACAGAATGATAAAAAAAAAAATTCTAAACCAAAAAACTAGTGTACAAAGCCAGAGGCCTCTGAGAGAGAGCCCGTTAACAATTTGAAGGTTTGTATCATAGCCACTTCTGCTAAATTCGATGTGGGGAGGGGGGTCTGGGGACTGGGGACTCGGGGGGCTTTTTTTGGTTGGTTTGGAAGAAATAGTAGTGACAAAAGCAAAATGCACCTTTTTGTTTACAACTGAAAAAGGGTCCTTGACAAGTGTTTTTTGATTTTATTATTATTTTCTTTGGTGTTGTAATTGTTTAGACTGCTGTGTACGGTTTGCTGTTTGTTGAATCAACAGTGTGAAAACCTGCCAGCATGGATTGATATACGCATGACGTTGTCCCCACCACTGGGGGCTTTGCAGTTCTAACTTCCTCGATGTAACCAGTCACCCCCATGTATAAGTGGAAGCTGCTTGCTAGAATGCAGATGAGTCTCATTTGTTAATTCACAATGATTAAGCATTCGCCTTCTGATTCTAGTCAGATCATGATTTTTTTAAAAAGCAAAACAAAACACCAAAAAGTCACCCTTCAAAACAAACTCGAGACCTGAGTTGATTTATTCACGTTTGATCATTAAATCTGTTCTGACCTCTCTTAGGTGTTCCCATCCACGCCCTTGAAAGTTCTGAATTTCCTCTAAATTCCCCGGCATGTATGAGAAAAGTATTATGTGTATGTATGTGTGTATATATGCATATACATACACACATATCCGTGTCTATCCACATATGTGCAGGTGAATATATTCTACACATATATCCAGATATACATATATATACATAGCCTCGCAAATAGTTACGGGCCTGGGGAGAGAAGTGGTTGGCTGGAAGCTGGGTGAGGATTCCACAAAATTTGCGGGTCTGTCTTCCTTCTGTTCCCTGAGCCGGGGAGGAGTGGGCCAGGCTGCAGGACTTCTGCTATCTTGTTTGCTAGGCTTCTGTATACATATTGTATCTGGGCTAGGTCCCTCCGAGACAAGTCTAATTATGAATTCACATCCCACGTTCCCAAATTCTTCCCTTCGACCCAGCTGTCTCCCAATCCAGAACTCTAAAGCCACCCAAATCGAGACCCCTCTCCTAACAACGAAACCCCAGCCACCACCAGCACCACTAACCCTCCCTGTGGTTTCTACTCTGAAGAGAAGAGTATATTTCTTGTTAATGTATCATGATCATGACTAATTCTCATACCGGTCTCTCTTCCTTCCCTCCCACCATCCCCCTGAGAGCTCCCATCCTAACCCCCGAGGCAGGTTCCTATTGGTGTTTGGGTGCATTTTGTGTTTTCCCTCTTGGCTTAATCAGCCCCGATTTTCTTCATTTTAGGGCAGGATGCTGAACGGGCTACATTAAAAAACAAACCTCTCTCTATATATATTTATAAATGAGAACTGTTGGATGACATCTTTGACATATCAGCCAATATCAATCAAGCTGAAGACTCCAGACACTGTCTGTGTGACTGTAACATTTCTTCAAGGAAAGCATAGCGTCTGTGGAGTTCAGAGGGCACGTGTTTGGGGGAAAATATATATGACATAAAGAAGAAGAAGATGATGAAGAAAAATGAGAAAAAAAAAAACACACACACACAAAAGGCAACTTTAAAACAAAATAACATGCGACCGAACGGGGAGGCTGAAGGGCTGGGAATAGGAGGAGACACTGCTGACCGATCCCGGGGCTTTTGCAGCCCGTGGGCGCCTGAGGCAGGCTGGGGCAAGCGGTGCGGTGGGGCCTGGTCCCCAGGGAGCGGCTGGGAGGCCGCTGAGCATCTCTATCTGTCATTCCTTTAGCTATTTAGGGACCAAAGGACCAAACTTTTTATCGCAGATGTGTAGCTCTATGTCAAATCAAGGGGGAATGCAGGAACACCCTCATTCCTGCCTCACAGCTGTTCTTGAGACAGCTTAGAGCGATTCTATGAAAAATGTAATAAAAAATTAAAAAAAACAAAAAAACACAAAAAAACACAAAAAAAGGAAAAATAATGCTTCAATGCTTTTAAAACAGCAAGATAATAGTTCTTTGATACTTTGAGAGGCGCTTTGATTACCCTCATCCAAGTCTATGACACTTTCCTATGGTTTTCTGTATTATATGTCTGGATGGAGCCGTTGAGAGGAACAACTTGATGGATATTTGGGGAAAGCAACAAAAACCTTAAAACTCGTTAACCGTGAAGTGTGACACAAAAACGAGGAGGCGACAAAAAGGGACTTCCAAGGCAAGGTCATTGTTGTGAAAAGTCTGTAAATGCTTCTAACTCTTCCCCCTCTTAAAATCATAATAGTTGTACAGAATTTTAAAAAGGAAAAGTTTAAAATACCTATATAATAGAAGAAAAATTAGAGGAAAGCAAAAAATAAAAAAAATAAAAATAAAAAAGGAAAAAAAAAAACCTATAGAAGTTAGCGTTCCTGCTAAAACTCCCAGATGTTGTAGGACTGTACTTTTGTAGAGTTTAGACTGAGCATCGATCCCTTCTCCCCGCGAGTGCTGCCGGACGCCGCTGTCCCCGAGGGCCAGGCTGGACTCGGACTCGCTGCAGACCCCGCGGGTTCCTGGCCACTCATCACCGGTGGAGGCCGCGCCATCGGCCGGGAGGGGCCTCACCCAGGCCGCTGCCCTCTCGCCTCGCTTCGCTCCGGGAGCCGCGCTCGCCCGCTGTCCACAGGCCCTCGACACCTTCCGCTTCACTCGCCTTCCATGCTTGCTCCAGAGACTTTCCGGGCAAGGGAGAACTGGGAACTTTCATCTTAAAACAACTAGACAACACACACACACACAAAAACCTTAACAAAAGAGAGAGAAACATAAACAATCTTTGAAGAATTTCTGAAACTGTTTACAAGGAATTTTGAAAAACAGGGATGTTTAAATGATGCCGGCTCTGTTTTTCTGTAAATAAATTTGCATATTTTGTAGGACTTTTAATTGTAATGATAGAGAAAAAAAACAAGGAAAACTATTTAATGAAAGCACGATATTTATCTTTGGTAAATGACTTTAGAGCAGTTAAAGACATTGCTTAAAAAAACTCAGAATCAGAAAAAAACACTGATTATTTAAGAACACATATATTTTAAAGTATAACATATTTATTATAATTTATTTGCACCCTTGGGAAGACTTGCGTTGGCATTCTGCCCTGAGACCTTCTCACTGATATCCAGTTCATCCGGAGGCCAGGGGCTCTCAGACCAACCATTTTTTTTCCTTTAGAAGAACAAACTTCCGGTTCCTCTCTGGCCTCTGGCCTTTCCTTTTTTTCTGTCGATTTTGTTGAGTTTTGGTTTTTAAAATTTTTTTTCTTTTCCTTTCTCTTGACTCCTCTTTTCAGGATGTCCAGATGTTGTAAAAAAAAAAAAACAGCTGCAGTTCAGTACAACTGCTCTTTTCACACTCAACTCCCTAAAACTCCTTGTAACCTTCTGTAACTATTGGATGACGCTTTCTCCAGCTTAGCCCTAAATAAAGCACAGTTTAAAAAAAAAAATCCTTCTCCCTTGGTCTGTGCTTCTCGGAGTCTGGCCAGCTGTGCCTCATGGCCCAGGGATCGCCCGCTAGAAATAGCTCTGCTCCTTCTCTGGAATATGCTCCAGGGCCTGCCCTGCAGGCTTCCTTCTGAGCCTCCACAGGGTGGGACTCCAAGGAGTGGGAGGTGATGGGAACAATAAAAGGAGGTTCTATTCCACCCTAAGAAAAATCTCTCTGGACTAGTATGTGTCTCTGAAAATCCCTATTGCAAAGCCATTCTTCAGGGTCCCTGGGCAGGGATGACTACAGTGCCCAAAGTGAACAGAAAGGACATTGAGGCCACCAGACCTGGAGGCAGACCTAGCATCACCCAGATGAGGCAGTGTGACACCTTGGGGAAAGAGGCAGTGCAGGGAAGCGGCCACAGTCAGGGAGGAAGGGTAAGGACACACCCCCAAATCTGCAACCGAGCATTTTGCTCCTGGGCATGCAACCTCCCACTGTCCCAGCAGTTTGCCTGGATGGAGAAAACAGGATTCTAGGTGACGCCCTCAGAGTCAGGGTTCTTATGGGGACAGGTGTAGGAGCAGGTGTACCCTTGCCCTGGGGAGTTTCTGGAGCGCTGCCCATCCTATGGCTGGACATGAGCTGGAGAGAGATGCACAGAGCCTGAATTCCCAGGTGAGGGAAGAGGGCTCCACAGGAGGAAGGGCGTGAACCAGGACGTGGAGAAGAGGAGATGTCCAGGCAGAGGCACACCAGTGCCTGCCTTCCTCAGGCTCCATCCTGGCACGGACCTTTTCACCATGTCCCTCAGCCCCGGCCTTCAGCCCTGCAGCCTGGTCCAGGAGTGGGCAGACTTCCTCCAAAGGTCTCTGTCTCTCCAGGCTGAGAGCACAGGGCAGCCGGAGAGGGGTGGGAAGCTGTGTGAGTTCAGGTGCCTGGGGACAGAAGACGAGCCCTGGGGAACTAGGGTCTTTGTCTGCTCATCCATCTGTGTCCTCCTTCCTGCAGGAGTGGGAAATGGCTTCAGTCCCCGGATGATAGAGAGCGGAGCTCAGTGCCCAGCTACAGAGCAATGGCCAGACCCCATGTTCCATCCTGTCTGCCCGTCTCTCTTCCCAGTGCCTGGGCCAACTCCATGTTTCTACACTAGCCTATGGAGTGTTAGCCTGGAGAGAATGACCTTCAAGTATCAGCAAAGGAGGGCAGGCCTCAAGCCTTGACCTAAATGTGGAGATGTGTCCAAGAAGAGGGACTGAGAAGCCCCCTTGAGCCCCCTAAACTAATCCCCTGCTCTGCCCACCAGGCTGCATGTCCAGGTGACAGTCTGTGGTGTCCATTCCAGGGAGCTGGACTTCTTATAAGAGCTGGCTTCAAGGGGCTGGGTGGAGACTGGGTGTTGTACTGTCCTGTGAGGAATGGAAGGTGCTTTCCAAGGAATTCTCTGGGGATGAGAAGGGGGTTTGTAGGTTTTGAACCTCACACCATTCAAAACTGTGATTTCTGTGGGATATTTGCAGTTGAAAGCCAGCCAGTCTGCCAGAGTATGGCAACCTCCACACCACCTCCGCGTGGTCCCTCGGTCACTCTCAGATCCTCCAGGAAGCTCCCTACAGAGATTCCCTAACTGACCTCCCAGACCTCTCCTCTTTTTTGAGTTGAGGTCTCACTCTGTCTCCCAGGCTAGAGTGCAGTGGCATGATCACAGCTCACTGCAGCCTCAACCTCCTGGGATCAGGTGATCCTTCTGCCTCAGATTCCCAAGTAGCTGGGACTATGGGCATGTACCACCACACCCAGCTACTTAAAAATTTTTTTTTGTAGAGACGAGGTCTTGTTATGTTGCTCAGGCTGGTCTCAAACTCCTGAGTTTAAGCAGTCCTATTGTCTCAGACTCCCAAAATGCTGGGGTTACTGGCATGGACCACCACGCCCAGCCTCATTCTCCTGTTTCTTTGTACCGGCCTTCCCATGGTGAACCTCTGTCTCTGGGACAGAGCCCTCCCCTACCTCCACTGAAGGACTGGGGCTCAGGGCTGTGGGTCCCTGGGAGCTGCCACCAGAGAGATGGGCAGTGAAGTGGCTGACCAGTTTCCCCTCTTCTGGGCATGGTTGACCAAGAGGAAGATGGAAACATCAGAGCCAAGTGCGAATATACCAGTTCTAGAAAAGAAACACTCTTGTTAGAAATCACATACTCAGTAACTCATATATGCATAGCACATTGAAGAGAGAATGCAGTTCATTATCCTCTGGGGGAAAATTGTAGATTCCTTGAAAACTCCCTGAAAGCTAGCAGGCCACTTGGCACTCAACTGGGGGGGCCTGAGGATCCCTGCAGCTTGGCCATCACTCCCGGCTAAGAACTCCTGATCGGCCGTGGTAGGAAAACCCAAGACACGGCTCTCACCCACTTCCCGCTTGTGTCCCACTGCTGTTGTCCTACCTACAGCATGTGGTCCTTCAGGGCCCCCTGTTTGTAAAAGACCTTTTTGTTTATTATTCAAAACTTAATTTCCAGCGTAATAACTGCATCATGAATCTCCATGTACTCATGGTCCAGCCTCTACATACATCAACTCCTAATCAGCATGGGAAATCCTAGACAGCAAGTCATTCATTGGTAGCCTCAGTTTCCTCTCAATGTTTTCTATGCCACACTGATGTCTACTGGCTGGCGCTGGCTTGTCAGGCAGCTGTCCCCTTGCTGCGACAGCCCAGGGAGATTGTGGTCATCGTGGCCTTTCCTCATCCCAAGGTGGAACTGGCTCCTGGCTGTCAGCCCCAGGTCTCTCTCCAGCACCTCCTGGGGTGACAGGGCCGGTTCCCAGCAGCACTTTCAAAGACCCTTCAGCTCTTCATCTGTACCTGGGTTGCCACAGCTTCTCTTTTTTCTTCTCTCCCATCTCCCCACCTTTTCCTGTGAGTCATATGAAAAGAATATGTTTGTTTTGTTTTGTCTGAGTCAGGGTCTTACTTTGTCATCCAGGCTGGAGTACAGTGGCATGGTCATGGCTCACTGCAGCCTCCACCTCTTGGGCTCAGGCTATTCTCCCCCCTCAGCCTCCCAAGTAGCTGGTACTACAGGCACATGCCACCATGCCTGGCTAATTTTTTGTAGAGAGAGGGTCTCACTATACTGCCCAGGCTAGTCTTCAACTCGTGGGCTCAAGCAGTCCTCCCACCTCAGCTTCCCTAAATGCTGAGATTACAGGTGTGAACACCCGGCCTAGAAGAATATGCTTATTGGGACCTTTCATTAATAGTTCCCATCTCCTTCTGGGTTTTTCTAAAGATCTGACCTTTTTCCTTCTCCGAGCAGCATCACTTCTGGTCGGGGTAAAGCTGCAGCTCCTCCTGGCACGGCCTGCAGGCCAGGGTCCAAATTACACTGGTGGGGCCCAGAGGAACATCCTCCACTCTGCCCATCTGGGTAAGGGGCATGCAGGCAGTGAATTTAGGGCGACCTGCCCAGCCCACACTTGACCATGAATGCCATTTGGCTATTTTCTAAAATGGAATCCACCCCCAAACAAAAATGATTAGCTACCATTGATGCACCACCATCAACAGACTATTCTGGCCATCAGACATTCAGTCGATATCAATTCGCCTGCATGAATGAATGAGTTAAGGAAAGGACATCACAGGCAACTGAAGGCACGTCCCAGGTGGGTGTTCTGGAAATGCTTTCTGAGTCGGGATCTCACTCTGTTGCCCAGACTGGAGTGCAGTGGTACTATCACAGCTCACTACAGCCTCCACCTCCTGGGCTCAGGTGATCCTTCCTCCTCAGCCTCCTGAGTAGCTGGGACTACAGGTGTGCACTACCATATCAGCTAATTTTTTTATTTTTCTGTAGCAGTGAGGTCTCACCATGTTGTCTAGGCTGGTCTCAAACTCCTGGGCTCAAGGAATCCTCCCACCTCAGCCTCTCGAGGTGCTGGGATTACAGATGTGAGCCACCGCGCCTGCCCTGGAAATGCTTTTCAAGTAATAATAGCACATTTGGAATAAGGGTATAGCCAACACTTCCCACTGATGAATGTTTACAAGTATAAGGTTTTCAGCTTTACAGTTTCCTCGCTCTCCTGACCCCCCTCCAGTTCCCTAAGCTGTCCTCCCTTCCTTCCTCAAATCCTCCCTTTGATTACCACCCCCATCTCTAGTCTTCAACACTCCTGGTTGCCCAAGGCCTGGCTTGTGAGGGGTGGAAGCCTGGTCAGTTGGTACTAGCTCCCCAGGCTCCCCTGCATCACCCCAGCTTCTCCTTCCTCCCACTAGCTTCACCACTTCTCTCTCCAGGGGACTCTGAACATCCATCTCTGCGCCTACCCTCTGTGCAGTTTAGGATTTGCCCAGATTGGGAGAGGGGAAGGAGAGATCATGTGACACAGTGAGGAAGGCATGGGCTTTGAGGTCAGGCGGGGTTCAAATCCCAGTTCTTTCTAGCTTCACTTTGGAAATGTTACTTAACCTCTTTGGGCTTCAATTTCCTTATCTCTAAAATAGAGGTAATGCCACCCCCAAGAGTGTTGAGAAGCAAATGAGACACAGTCGCACCCAGCTGCGCACCCCCCCACCACATATGTAAGGATAACCTAAGTGAATTCTTTCCCAGTGTAGATGCTCAGGATGAATCACTCAGGCTGTGACCCCCCTGTCCCCTCCTTCATTCCATTCCATCGACAATTCACCTCCCAACCAAGCAGGCTTGAACTTGATGCCCAGCCACTCTCAGTCATTTTCTGGGAAGTCCAGTCAGTTCGTGTCACTCACAGAGAATTCCTGTTGTGCCAAGGTATGCACACCTCTGGCTCTCACTGCTGTCTTCCAGGGACCCTGATCACTGATGCTCCTGTGGCCCCTACCTTTCCCAGGAGCAGGCCCGGCTGCTGTCTGCTGCTGTCTGCGGCCATCCTGTCCTGGCTGCTGTGGCCACATGCTAATTTGGTCCTTGCACTTAGAATGTTTTTATCTATTTTAAAAAATAGTTAACATATTCATATATTTCCT